AGCTAGCTAGCTAACCTAAACGTGTTTTTAACTTTCATACTCTTTCTTAATGAATAATAATTATAAGTTTATAATATATATATATATATCTATATATGTAACATATATTTTGCAATGTTCGATGTAAGTTTCAATCTCAAAGTTTGTTAAATGTTGGTTTTCTTAAAACATTCGCAAGAAAAAAATGTATATTTTTTCATTTAAATACAAACTATCAAAACTAACTCCATCTAAATATATACAAACATGGGTTCTTAGTTTAACGATTGTATATAGCGATTGATCTTCGAATTTGGTATAATTTCGGTTGTGGATGAAGTTGCTGATATAGCTTAAATTATACACTCAGTTTTTAAGATGCATTTGCAGTGACAGGGTCATCTTTATCTATATATATTCCAACTATTGTTGGAAATATGTAAGGCAAAATGCAAACCAAATCATTCGAACTCCAAAAGTTGCCACTTTAGCTCCATATCGGTGTTAAAGAATACTTCATTTGCATTTTTTTCGATCAATATCTATCTCTAACAGTATATACTTTCCTTGCAAATAGAGTAGCCTTAATTAATTAATGTTTAAATTGATCTTTTTTTCACTATATGGGTCCTGTGGGAATATTATTCCCCAATGATTTGGACTCTCTCCACCATAACTAGACCCTTATTGGCTTCTTGATGACACAAAAGTTAGAAGTTATGATCATTACACTAAACAAATAGAAAAGTAGTGCCCCAATATTCATCAGCTATATCATGTAAAACCAAAATCTTTAGCTTTCTCTTTGCCTTTTTTTTCTTAATTATTTTCTTTTGTGTTTGCTATTAATCATGAGGTATTCCACATATTAAATATTTTACCATAAAGCAACACTTAATTGGTTATTGGTTTTGGTATGAATTAATTTCAACTCTAGACGAAATTTTTGACTTAAGGTTAGAAAATGAGAACGAGTATGATATCATAAAACATATCTCGATTATCTGCATTTGTTATGAAGTTAATTTTTTTTTATGCCCTGGTTAGCATTTTGTACTATGGTTTTTTAATTATTATTAGAATCGTGAGGTAAAACTCACATATATCCCCAAAACTTCAAATAAATCAGATATTGTTGCTAATATTTTTTTTTTAAAATGTTAATTATATAATATAAAAATAAAATAAACAGAGTTGTCTTAATATAAAAATAAAATAAACAGAGTTGTCTTTTGGGCTTGCAAGAGAGAGAAAAGATAGAAGAAATAAAGGAAATAGTGGTACTGATAAGATTTTCAAGAAGCTTGCACAAGAAATCGTTGTGGTGTTCTTGTATAGTAGAGGTGAAACTAGGATGTAAGTATCAGAGGTTGTTTGATAATATTTCACGAGTCCTAGTACCTTTGATGTCTTGTGCGATCGGGGCTGGAGATCATTTTCATTAATCTCACCTCTGCTTTTATCATTTTCACATCCTACTACAGATATTTTGATTGAGCTTCGACCTCAAAAGATCTAACTATCACAATACAAATATTTTGTGCCGTTTAAGTTGAATATGGCGAGAAATTGTAGGTTTAGCTTTAGAGTTATGTTTTTAGATCCACCAGCCCAAATTATATATGCATTACTAAACTAATCAATTGATCTTGAAAGAACTCGATGAGTACGTATATACCTGGCACCTGCCTGCGAAGGTTGGCGCTGGAGCTGAAGCAATATTACTCAGAAATGCTGGCACGTCATTATGGAAATGATCTGTTGATGGTGTTGATGGTAAATCATCATATAAAACATTATGGTGCATATTTTTTTTCTCTTTTTTATTTTTGTTGCAACCATATGGTAGAGTTAAGATCTAAGCAAAGAAACAAAAACCTAGGAGCGAAGGCGTTGAGGGACTCATTCATAAACAAATGTGAAGATAGTGCATGCCTGCATGGTGGTACGATGAATATGGAGAAGCTTCTAACAAAGGTCTTGGTTGTTCTTGTGCTTAGAAAACGATAGACGATAGTTTGTGAAATTCTTAGTGCTACAAGATTAAAGATGATTTTAGGATTTTTTTTGGGTGTTAGAGTAGAAATTGGTCGGTCGCAAACTTAACTATGTCTTAGTGCTGCTTAACATCTGATTGAATGTAGTAGGAACCTTGAGTGTTTCCTAATCGTTTGATAATTTCTGTGATTTGGGTTCTCTATACTACTTGAATGTCGCAACAACAAAAAAAATCCTAAAGACCAAGCATTATATAGAAAAAAAAACAGTAGATCCTTTCAAGCATATTAAAATTCTTTTTACTTAGCGTTTCGAAGAACCATCAGTCCATCACTCCATCACATATGGTACATGCAGCAAATCCTCGCCGTTTTTCCTTGTAATCAAAGAGTTTTGAACCTTCGACCTATAGTTTGGTAGGTTCGGACTTGAACCGAGGACCTTGTCAAGAAAGCCCTAGTTTGTAAAGACTTAATCTAAATTTAACACAAATGTTAAACTCTTGTTATCCTCTTTGGTTAATTTTATGAGTCTTCTTTATCGGTCAAACAACATATGCATGGTGGGGTTAAGCACAAAGTCCTTTTACCACGTGGTTTTAAACTAAATTACATAATTATGCACATAGACGAAGACTATATATATATTGAAGTAGAGAATATAATAAAGCCCTTTTACCATGAGGTTTCTTTTTCAAATTTTGACCAAAAAGAGATTCAATAAGATCCGTTACATAGTTGAGATATGTATATTATGAAATAAAGCAAGAGTAGCTAGTGGAAGATAGTGTGCTTGCACAATAGTCGAGAGAAAAAACACATTATATTCATTTGAGGAGTCTATTAACAGTTTAATACCATGATCAAACCAATTACTAATCATTTTAAGTATAATCATTCAAATTTAAAATTGCTCACTAATTTGCTAGCTTTTATAGTAATCACATTTGTGTTCGAATGTTGTCCTTCAACGAACTCAAAATTTTTATCGGTATTCCGTATTAAAACCTATACGAATAATAACAAATACGACATGGAAACTGCTATCTAGAAATTGTAGTATTAGATTGATGGTTTAAAAACCGATTTTTAATTTCTAAATCACCCGACTATAAATAATTATCTAACAATTTAGAATAAAACTTCCATGGAGTTCTTGTAATGTTTGGTGGGAGATTTTTCTCATGATCTAATGTGGGCAAGCAAGAGATTGCTTGAAACAGACCAATCCTCGAGCGATCTGCGGGCAACCATTTGATTTTAACCTTGGTCCCCTTAGCCGCTTTTTCAATCAAAACCCTTTAGTTTACTTTATTTTAAGAAATGAATAATTAGTAAGAATTTTTTTGGAAAACTACAAAATATTTATATATTATAGTAGTTACTTCGTCATTACCAATATGCAAAGTTCGAAACATATACTTAACAAAAGATTTATTCTAAAGCCATTTTTGGGCGGCATTCTTAGTTTTCCTTCTTTTTAGCTCTTTTTAGTTAGTGGGAAAAGAAGAATTAAAGTGGGTTGTTGGGTTTTTTAAGGTAAAATATTGTTGGGATTTTGTATCAAACAACTCTAAATATATACTTCCTCCATTTCTTTACACTAATAAACTGTATATATAGTTTGTGATTTTCACACATTTTGAAAAAGTTGTGTTGAAATTTTAAATTTATTAATTAACAAAATTAAATGTTACATAAATTTACAAAAATATTTGCAATACCAATCTAAATTTACTTTATTAATTACGATTTATATTAAATAGACCTCTAATACCCAAATATCCGAAACTGAAAGAACTGAACCCAAACTCGAATGGGTACGAGTACCCATATTTACTTAGAGTATTCACAGATTCATTTGTACCGATTTATTTTTTACTTAGAAAAGAAAATGCGGTTGATTTATTGAAACTCGCTAAAATACTAAACAGCTTTCACTTAAGACCAAGCTTGATTGAAGTTTAGATAAAATAAATGACTTTATGATATAAACAAAAGAGAAAGAGAGATGAGACAGAAGGTTGCTTTTGCAGTATTCCGGGAATGAAATGCTGTCTCTCTCCTAGGATTGGCGTGAGAGAGAGAGAGAGAGAGTCCATTCCTCTCTTTTGTCCTTCTTGTAATTAATTGATTTTCACTATTACAATAAAATGATACATTCTCAATAAATATTTTATCATTTTAATATGCCTTTATTGGAGATTAAACAAATGAGACTCTAAATAACCTTTTTAGGGCCAACCTAAGATATTCATAAAAAGATCGAGAAGATCTTTGTTGGTCACTCCTACGCACATCAATGCAAAAAAGAGACTAACGTCTTAACTATGAAATAAATAAAACTTATCTTTTTCTATTACTCCTTTTAGAACAAATATAAAATTTATCTTACAATGTTAATAATATACAGACCCATGCATCCATTTAATTAATTTATTTTAGCATGCGTTATATAAATTAATTACGTTTTGTTTTCTCATATCTCTGAAAAAATCCTAAGTAATTGTTAACTTTGGTTTTTAATAATAATAACACGGTAGGTTTTCCACCAAAAATTATAAACCAAACATAATACTCCCTATAGATTATTAATTATTTTAATGGCTGGGCATATATTGACGTGTAAATTATTTTTGAAAAAAAGGTATCTTTTCTATGCTCTAATTCCCTAATAATTACCAAAAAATAAAAGAGACATGATGAGCAAAATGGTACTGAAGCTGCACTGCAACTGTAAATTAAGTGAGAGGAGAAAGAAAGAAAAAAAAAAAGACAAAAAAGTTGAGTGAAATGCAAAAATCAAAAGCATACAAAAGCTGCTCGTTTGTCCAAAAAGAAACCCATCATAAAGTAAAAGCATTATGAGATCAAAAACCCCTTTAAAAATAAAATAAATAAAAACTTTTTTAAAAATTCAAAAATAATTCAAGAAGAGGAACAGAAAACCCAGCACGAAATAAGTATAAAGGAACCAGCTTGGTCTAATTTCCTTATCTGTCTAAAACTCTCTTAAACCTCTCTCTCTCTCTCTCTCCATTTTCTTCTTCTCTTAGATCTGTTCCTCTCTTCTTTCGTCTCTTTGGTTCTATCTTCTTCTTCAGTCTCCAAACATAAGAAAGGAAGCTCCTTTTCTTTTTCTGTTCTGTCTTCTTTCACTTGGGTTATATTTATTTGGGGTGTGTGGTTAAAGGAGGAATCAGAAGTTTTTCAGTGAACACCAGAAAGCTTTCAGGAGAGGTTTTTCAATTTCAAAACGTGGGGGTGGGGGGTTAGGGTTAGGGTTTACAAGTTATGCGAACAGGTGGTTATACGATTCAACAGACACTCACTACAGAGGCTGCTTCTGTCTTGAAGCAATCTCTCACTTTAGCTCGGAGAAGAGGCCATGCTCAGGTTTTTTAAAAATCTTCAAGCTTTTTCAAAAAAATCTTCCAACTTTATTTTGTTTGATGCTTATTTTGTCTATTTATTTTTGTTCAGGTCACTCCTCTCCATGTTGCAGCTACATTATTGTCATCAAGGACAAGTCTTTTGAGAAGGGCCTGCATTAAATCTCACCCTGGTTTTTCAACTAATTACCAGTTTGCCCCTTCTCGTCTTCACCATAACCAAAACCATCCTCTTCAATGCAGAGCTCTCGAGCTTTGTTTCAATGTCGCACTCAACAGGCTTCCCACTGTTCCTGGTCCTATGTTCCATGGTCAGCCTTCTCTCGCAAACGCTCTCGTCGCTGCACTCAAAAGAGCTCAAGCTCACCAGAGACGAGGCTGCATCGAGCAACAACAACAACAGCAAACGCAAACTCAAACGCAGCAGACGCAGTTGCTTGCTGTTAAAGTGGAGCTTGAACAGTTGGTTATATCCATTCTCGATGACCCGAGTGTGAGTCGGGTCATGAGGGAAGCTGGATTTAACAGCACAGCCGTGAAAAACTGTGTCGAGGATTGCTCCGGCTCCTCCGTCTTCTACGGTGGCTCAGTCGTCGGAGTTTTCTCTTCTCCGAATTCTCCCGATCAACAGCAACAACACCACAGCAACATCAACCGATTTCACCACTACCAAAACCCTAAAGATTTCAACTTTATAAACCCTAGCTTCGCTTTATGGCAAACTCATTTCTTAAACCAATCTCCCGACCAAAACCCACATTCGATTTCCTCCTCTTCTCATCACCATCAACGCCTTAGAGAAATCGATTTGAAACTCGTTGTCGATGTTCTTCTGAGGAAGAAAACGAAGAAGAAGAATCCAGTGATTGTTGGGGACTCGATTTCATTCACTGAAGGTTTTGTCTCGGAGCTAATGGCGAGGATAGAAAGAGGAGAAATCGATCAAATCGGGGATTTGAAGCAAACCCATTTCGTCAAGTTTCAGTTTTCACCAATGGCGTCAAAGTTTATGAGGAGAGAAGACGTGGAGACGAACATGAAGGAGCTAAGGAAGAAAGTCGTCTCTCTCACAACGAGTGGCAAAGATGTAATTATCTTCACTGGTGACTTAAGGTGGACAGTCCAAGAGATTAACAATAACAACAACAACAATGGAGGAACCAATGAGATTTCTTCGTCTTACAGTCCTTTGGATCATCTTGTTGAGGAAATTGGGAAGTTAATCGCTGAATATAACGACGAATTAGACGATGATGATTGTAAAATGAGGAGGGTTTGGGTAATGGGAACAGCTTCGTTTCAGACATACATGAGGTGTCAAATGAGACAACCTTCGCTAGAAACACTGTGGGCTCTTCATCCTGTTTCTGTCCCTTCGTCTGCTAATCTTGGGTTAAGCCTTCATGCGACAAGGTAAACTCTTTTTCTTACTTTTTACCATTAATTACTCTACGGTTTTTTATGAAAAGATAAATTTTCAGTCAGTTATTTCCCAAAAGTGACATCTTTTTGTGATGTTGGTCAAAAAGGTTTTGCGTAGATAGTGACACTAGCTAGTATATCTATGTTAAACTTACAAAAAAAACGAATCTTTATGTCTAGTTCAAAAATAATAATTAGATAATTTCTTTTTTGAAAATGCTGTGTTTTTGCAGAGGTTACTTAAAAATGGTCCCTTTAGAGTCTGTCTTTGTTCTCTGACTTACTCAGATCAGTGTCTCATTGAAGCCAAAACCCTCTGTGTCTATGCCTGTCCATTCACACATTATACCATAATTATTATTATAACTTGGACTTTCATAGGAGTCCACCTATGTGTGGCTAAAAGGGAGGTAAAAATTATACAGATTAAAATCCATTCCGGCTTTTTGGATTTGAAGATGTGGAGATAGGTAGTAATAAGATAGCTGTAAAAATCAGATATATATAATATGCTTAAGAGTAATCATTTAGGTGCTCAATGCTCATTATATTCAGATTCAATGGTCTTGTAGACACATTAATTTGAAAACATCGTGGAGAATATTCCGGCAACAAGAAGATAGTAGTAAAGCTTGAAAGTTGAAACTATTGATTTTCTGTTTTTGTTTTTTGTTTTGTAGCAATGTGTGGACGATTTTACCCCTTTTACCACTTTGGTTAATTAGTCTCAAGTTTTCTTTTATGTCTGAAAGCTAAGAGACCGTCCTATATTAGGGAAACATCTTGTCTTCTTGTCTACAGGACTCTTTTAACAACAATCCAAAATCGCTTTTTTACTTTATTGGCTTTTCAGACGGTGTTTACGCGAACGCCACTAACCTATCTCTTTTTTTACCGTTTGTTCATTGCAGTGGACATGAGGCAAGGAACATGAGTAATGTCAGTGCAACAAAGTCCTTTTCTAGTTATAATAAAGCTGAGGAAGAAGAGACAATAAGCTCTGTTCTAAGTTGTTGTCCTGAGTGTGTTACTAGCTTTGAGAGAGAAGCGAAAGCCCTTAAAGCTAATCAAGAGAAGCTCTTGCCTTCTTGGCTACAATCCCATGATGGATACAATTCTCCACACAAGGTAGAATATTTTAATTTATATCTACCGGCCGTTAGTAGATCGTTTCAGCAGTGAATTGGAGATCTAATTCCTGTTCTTGCTGTGGTGTAGGATGAGTTAATGGGATTGAGGAGAAAATGGAATAGGTTTTGTGAACATCTACACCAAGAGAGGACGAGTAATCAGACAGGACAATCGAGTTTGATGGGCAAAAACTCTTCATATGGCTTGCCTTATGGATCATCAAACGAGTCGTCTTTGATTGATTCGTTGGGGTTAAAGCCGAGTCAGCGAGTCACAAACTCGATTGCCAAATTCCGACGTCAGAATTCTTGCACTATTGAGTTTGATTTGGGTGGAAACGAATACGAGAAGGGTGAATCGATCAATGATGCAGAAGATGACAACGAAAACGTGAAGATCACTCTTGATTTGGGACGTTCACTGTTCCGATCAGATTCCATAACAGAGACGAGGAAGAAGATGGCTGATCTGGTCAAAGCTTTGGAGGAGAGTATTCCATGGCAAACAGTGACAATGCGTTTGATCGCTGAGAGTTTAATGGATTGCGTGTTGAAGAAGAAAGATGGCTGGATTATGATAGAAGGCAGCGACACAGCGTCAAAGAAGAGCATAGCTCGTACTGTATCTGAATCTGTTTTCGGGTCTTTCGAGTCTCTTGTTCATATTGACCTTAAGAAGAAAGGCAGCGAGTCAAAGGAAAACTCGGAAAGGCTTCTTGCTTGTGGATTGGAGAATCGTGAGAAGGTTGTGTTCTTGATCGAAGGCATCGTTTCGGCGGATTCCCGGTTCGTGAAACTCCTTGCTGAACGGTTTGAGGAGAATCGCAGGATCAAAACCGGAACTGATCATCATCGTCAAGCGATCTTCATTTTGACAAAGGAAGACAACGCGAGAAACAGAGACTCTGTTTTGCAGATTGGTTTGGAGATCACGGGACAGAGTGTGGGGAGAAAGAGAAAACCGGAGTCTGATTTATCGGTTAAGGAGGGTAAGAATTTCAAAGCGGGTGAGATGGAGAATGGGTTTTGGATCAAGAAGGAAGGGTTCTCGAGTTTCAACAGTTCTTATCTCGATCTGAACATAAAAGCTGAAGAAGAAGGAGACATCAGCCCAATTACAAGCGATTTAACTGGAGAGGGAAGAGACGGAGATTTCTTCAAGCGATTTTCTAAACCGGATTCAAAACCGGTTTGTCCTAAACCGGCCATATCAACAGGGAATCGAAAAGGCTATGATAACGGCGGCTTTCAGGGAGGTATTCCCGGAGGGGGAAGAAGAAGCTGGGGGTGTTAGGTTTAGTGTGGAGGAGAAGTTAGTGGAGGAGATTTGCGGCAGTGATTACGTTCAAAACGGAGCGTTTGAAAGTTGGTTAAAGGAGGTTTTTCAAACTGGGTTACTAACGGTTAAAAAGGGCGGGAAAAAGGATACGGGTGTAATTAGGATGGTGTTTGGGGGTATAGTTGACAACAACAAACAATATGGTGGGGGTGTTGGTGGGTACATGGGTACATGTCTTCCGAACAAAGTCCAAGTTTCCAAGTTCGAATAGATCTTTCGGTTAATTTCTTTCGTTTTTTCGTTTATTTTACTTTTGAATGTAAAATTTCCATTACTAATGTGGGGGTTTGACTGGTGTAACTCGTTTCTTTTTCATGTAATATAAACGCGTTTTAAATTTGGCCACAAAAACTGTTTTTAGTTTTTTGCAAAAACGCTCATTAGTGTAGAAGTTTATGCGAAAATAACTATTACATACAACATGGTCAAATGAACAAAATTCACCAATTTAGTAAGCAATCCAATGGGATGCATGTGAGAAAAAGGCCCAATGGGCTTCAAAACGCCATTAATTGCGACTTGAAATCCACTAAACGCGCGCTAATTGCAAAGCGCGATTACAAACAAACTTCCAAATCAAAAATTTTAGAAAGTCGGGAGGATTCATCGATCTCTCCGTCTAGCGAATCGGCGAATAACGAAGAGAGAATGAGTTCTGCAAACTGGAAGCACACTCTTCTCTACTCAACACTAATTATCTCTCTTCTCTACATCGTCGAGACCCTAATCTCGCACAAATTGCACATCAACCACAACAAAATCCGCCTGAAAAGGTCTCCGAATCTTCCTCTACGCTTCCGCGATGATGGCACTTTCAAGATCCTCCAGGTTTTGGTTATGTTTTGCCCTTTCCGATTCGTGCAATTCGCTAGCATTTGATTGGATTTTGATCGACATCGCTTTGGGTTGTTACAGGTCGCGGATATGCATTACGGAATGGGGAGTATTACTCGATGCAGAGATGTGTTGGATGCAGAGTTCGAGTACTGTTCTGATCTCAATACCACACGGTTCCTTCGAAGGATGATTGAAGCTGAGAGACCCGATTTGATCGCCTTTACTGGTAATTTGTCTTTGCTTTGAGAATCTACTAGAATCTGTTCGTTCAAATTTTATTCAGTGGTGTACAGTTTGTCATGTTTCTCTAATTTCTAGATATTTTCATGATAATTGGTTTTCATGAAATTTTTCCTTGATGTTCTGTGACAGCACGAGGGAAAAGTTTTTGGGTTGAACTGAGCTATAGTTATAGGTTATTTCCTTTTTCTTAATTGATCTTCAAATATACTAAGAACGAGGTATACAAATGTGGAAATTGTTGCACAAAATTTGGGTATCTCATATTTAGACTTCTTTTAATTTTTCTTGTTTACAAGTGAACTGAATAGCTTGTAAGCTTATAATTGCGCTAAGGGATCTATGTTTGGTTGTAGAAATCTATGACTGATGGAAGTAAAGGTTTCTGTGTTTTTTACTGATGATGAAATTTGAATGAGCAAACACATGTCATTCACGATTCTCTTCCAATTCATTGAAAATCTTTTCACCAATTTTGTATATCACTTTTAAGGGATAATGTGTCAAAGAAGGGTACAGCCAATTCACTAAGTCTTGTGTGGTTATGTTGTTGATATTTAGGGGATACTATATTTGGATCAAGCACTACTGATGCAGCGGAATCTCTTCTTCAAGCCATTGGTCCAGCCATTGAATATGGAATCCCATGGGCTGCCATTTTAGGAAATCATGACCAGGAATCCACTATGAACCGTGAAGAACTGATGACTTTCCTCTCTCTTATGGATTTTTCTGTCTCTCAGATCAATCCACCTGTCGAAGATGACTCGGATCAAGCTGAAAGAGGCGCATTGAGATCTATTGATGGATTTGGGAATTACCGCCTCAGAGTACACGGTGCACCTGGTTCGGTGCTGTCAAATAACACTATCTTTGACCTCTTTTTTCTAGATAGTGGAGATAGAGAAACAGTCCAAGGTAGACGAACATATGGATGGATCAAGGAATCTCAACTTCGTTGGCTTCAAGATACTTCCAAACAGGTAAAGGGATTATGCATTTCTTATTACAACTGGGGAAATATTCACATATGTAGATATTTGATCATGATTACACGTTGGTCAAGATTCATTAACCTCTAAAGAGACTCACTGACTAAACAGGGTCATAACCAAAACGTAGTAAACTTTACCGGTGATCCTCCTTCAGCGCTAGCCTTTTTCCACATTCCAATTCCGGAAGTTCGTGATCTGTGGTACACACCCTTTATTGGTCAGTTTCAGGAGGGTGTAGCATGCTCCATCGTTCAATCAGGAGTCTTAAAGACCTTTGTGTCCATGGGAAATGTAAAAGCCGCGTTCATAGGACACGACCATGTCAACGATTTCTGTGGAAATCTAAAAGGGGTATGGTTTTGTTACGGTGGAGGATTTGGATACCATGCTTATGGAAGACCATATTGGCATAGAAGAGCAAGAGTGATAGAGGCTAAGCTCGGGAAAGGAAGAGACACATGGACAGGAGTTGAACGTATCAAGACGTGGAAACGTCTAGATGATGAAGACTTGAGCAAGATAGACGAACAAGTCTTATGGGAAGCTTCCTACACATTTCCGAAGTGACCAAGGGACAAGGCAAGTAAGTTATATATTTCTTTCTTCATGATTGCCCATCTTTTGATGTTTTGTGTGAGAAAATTCTGAGTCTCTGCGTTTAGGCTTGGATTATATGTAAACATAACGACATGCATTGCACTTGATACATTTGGGTCTGTTATTCTTAAAAACGTTTTTCAGATGGTCACAAAATTCGGTCCCTAGGGCCTAGGCCTAGGGACATCATCTTTCGTTAGGACCATTTCTGACGAAACATATGTGAATGAAACACCCTTTCGTTTGGGGTTCTTTGAAACGGCTCTTTCGGTGTTGTTTTGGTGTGATCTCTTTGACTATTATATTCATTTTGTTAATTATGAAACATTTAATTGACATGTTCAATAAAAATTATTTGGGTATTTTTTATTAGCTAATTAAGATCATATGATTCGATTTGTTGGGTATAGTCAGTTACAAATATTTTGATTGTCTAATCAAAATCAGTTCTTATTTTTCTGTTTGGTAATTGCTTGTTTCACCATTTTTTGTCATTTTGTTGCTAGCTCGACTTAAATAAATTATGTTTCTGCATTTTTCTTTTCTTTTCTTTTTTCTTTTGGTCATATTTTTAAAATTTTGATTATATGAATTTTTTTTAAGGGCCAAATTTCTTTAGTGCTCACACTGTAGATATTGACAACAGAGGTCCCAGAATATTTAGACTATATGAATAAGCCCTCGTGCCGAATATCATATCCTAATATAGAAAATAATGCTGGTGTTTATTTCTTTTTCAATTTTTTTATTGGGCAATTATTGTCTACTAATAATTGACATTATTTTTCTTTCAGTAAAGATACAACGCCGGTGTGTAATTAACTGGAAATCTACGTTGTTGTCTCCCGAGACTTTGGTCTGTCTCATTCTCATTCTACTTCTCTATATAAGGCTCACAGGTCGAGAGAGAGACAAGAGACACCACATAAACGATCAGACAAAAGTTGATTAGAAATTTGTCTGAAAATGGAGAGTATCGAACAAGAAATTAACAATTACTGGGAACCCAGTTCCTTCCTCCCAAACGAAGACTTTGAATACGACAGGTTCTTTCTTCTTTTCCTTGTCTCTCTCTATCTTTTTCTTGCTTACTTTCCCAGAAACACTTGAGATTTTGATATTTTTTCTTAAAAGCTGGCCTTTGGAGGAAGCCATTTCTGGGTCGTATGATTCGAGTTCGCCTGATGGGGCGGCTTCGTCGCCGGCTTCAAAGAATATTGTGTCGGAGAGAAACAGAAGACAGAAACTTAACCAGAGACTCTTCGCTCTCCGATCAGTTGTTCCCAATATCACTAAGGTTCTTTTTGTTGTTTTCCCTCTGTGAAACTCCAACCTGTTTGTCTTCTAATTCCAAGATCCAAGCTTATTATGGATTCTGTTTTTTTTTTTCTTTGTACTGGTAGATGGATAAAGCATCAATAATCAAAGATGCTATTAGTTACATACAAGGGTTGCAATATGAAGAAACGAAACTTGAAGCTGAGATCAGAGAACTTGAATCTACTCCAAAGAGTAGTCTGAGTTTCAGTAAAGATTTTGATCGTGATTTACTGGTTCCTGTCACATCCAAGAAGATGAAGCAGCTTGATACTGGTTCTTCCCGTTCTCTCATCGAAGTTCTCGATGTAAGTCTCTGGGTTCCTACTTTCACCTTGGATCATAAAGTAAAGAAATAATTTTCATTTAAAAATTGTCGTTTTGGGTGGTTGAAGTTGAAGGTAACATTCATGAGAGAGAGAACAATGGTGGTGAATGTTACATGTAACAAGAGGACAGACACAATGGTGAAACTGTGTGAAGTCTTTGAGTCATTGAATCTCAAAATCCTCACTTCCAGTCTCACCTCTTTCTCTGGCATGATCTTCAATACTCTCTTTATTGAGGTCAGCATCTCTCTCTTTCTCTCTCTCTCTCTCTCTCTCTCTCTCTCTCTCTCTCTCTCTCTCTCTCTCTCTCTCTCTCTCTCTCTCTCTCTCTATCTTCATTTTGGAATTTAGTTGATTACTAATTTCAAGTAATGATTGAAATTAGTCAAGAACTGGATAGTAGACTTTTCAAGAAAAAGTAAAAGGAAGCATTCAATCATACATAGATTACTTTAGCTAACTTTTCTTAAAGCCTCCATCATCGAATGCTAATTATGTAAATCGCACGATATAATGTTTCTCTTGTTTTCTCAAATAAATTTACCATAGTGAAAATAAGTTTTTTTTTTTGCTTTTGTTTTTTCAAGTTTTCTTATAGCTTTTGTAATATATTTCCTAATCTGTGTAAACCGTGCGTCGAATTTCTTATTCTAGATTTTGGAATATCATTCGATGATTTTCTGTGGTTTTAAGTCTCTGCTCGTGCCAAATTATTTTAGCATTAAATGTCTTATTCGTGATGCTGGCGATGAGCGATTGTGTTATTACTTTATTGTTTACCTGAAATAATAAATATAAATACTTTTCCAAAATGCAAAATTTCTTGATTTGATAAACGACATGGACCTTTTTGGTTGATTTAAAGCAAGATTTCATAGAGTAAACTAATGATTAAATTAGTAGAAAATATTCGGCTTAGTCTATATTTTGGGTTTGGTCGTCTGGTATAGTCAACACATTTTTTTTTGTTGGCCACTTAACGGTGTGGCCTTATTTGTAAATTTGGTCATCAAGTGAAGTGCATGATATTGAAAACTTAATAAGTTAATATAGTATATTTTTAATTTTCGCCGTCAAAACTGTCGATTGTCAAACAAAATTCAATTTTCTTTTGTTTGCCAATTTATATAAAAGTTATAGTAGTTGAAAGCTTTTAAAATGTTTGATGTTTTCTTCTCTAGTAACTAGTGGTAATACTTCCAATGTTTCTAATGGAAAGGTAACTAAGACCATCTCCAATCCTGAACCCTATTGAGGGGTTCATCAGATTTTTTTATTAGTTTTTTTGAGAATTTTTTTTTGGATAAACTCTATGAAAAACTTGGTGTCCAACCCTAAACCTCTTAAAAGAGTTCTTTGGATTATTTTAATAATTTTTTTATTAAATTTTTTTTTCTGAAAATCAATTTTACACATTTAATATATTATAATCTGAAATAAATTATTCATTACATATAAATAAAATTACATGATAAAAAGATTAAACAAACTTATTCATTACATATAATTAAAACACAAGAAAACAAATTAATCCAAATGTCCAAATTTCTGCCAAACATGTTCAAGTAAATCTTTTTGCAATTTATCATGTGTTTCTGAATGTCGAACTTCTTCGCGATTGCCTATCAAATTTTAAATTTTTGTAGGCATATATGTAGAATACGACATATCCACCTGAGAACTTCTGTTAACGTCGCCTTGTTCGTATTGTGTTGTATCAACTAGATTATATCCAATGTGTTCGTCTTCCACGATCATATTATGCAGAATGATGCTTGCCCACATAATATTCCCAATTTTTCTCTTATCCCAAACAAGAGCTGGGTTTTTTTATAATTGCGAAACGAGACTGCAATACTCAAACCTAAAACCAAGAATCAGAATTCATACGCATAGACTACTCGTCAAACGAACAGTAAACCCATATCAACTACTAACCATGAATCATCCATTTCAATCGCAAACCATATCAACTATGAATCATCCAATTCACTCGCAAATTAGTTCAAGTTGGGGTTTCACATATTCGCAATCAAAATCGAAATCAACCCTCAAAGTACACCGATAGCCCTTTTTCACAAGAAAACTTAAAAACCCCAATTTTTCCTAAATCTGCAAACCCTAAATCGACAAAACCCTAAACTAATCCATGCAATTTCAACCTAAACGAGTACTTCCCGATCAGACAGACCATCGCATGACCTCTAAGACCCGTAATTAGACCAAAGATTAAAAAGCCCCAAATTTCTCTAAATCGTATAAACCCTAACTCGACGAGAACGCAAATAAAAACTCTATTCAATTAAAAAAAACCAAGGCTTGGATAACATACCTTCGAACTGGAGTCGTAGAACACTTCGATCTTGGAAAAATCGCCGGAATCGCGAAGACAAGTTGAATCGCCCAAAAAGAGAGCTTCGGTCGTAAAAAAAAAAAAAGAGAACGAGCAAATGTTTTCCAGAAAAAAAAATCCGATACCCCTAAATTTTAGTTTCTCCCTCTTTTCTGTTTCACCCAGTAAAAACGATACACGTGGCCAATTTATCCCTTTCTGAACCGCTGTTTCAGATACATCACAAAACAGCGATGCTTTCAATTTTGGACTTTTATTCTTTTTTTTAAATCCATAAATGCCCAATAAACCCCTGATGAACCCCATATTACCCCACGTTGGAGCTGGTCTAATGGTGCCATATCGGAAGCTTCCGGTCTCGACCAATCATTTATTGCGTTCTGTTTTAGTTTTTTATTTTTGGTCCCACATTCATTGGAATTTGGTCCATTTGGCTAAAGATAATATATTATCTATGGTAAGCAGAATCTGATTGCTTTGATATGAATTTTGCTCAACCGCTCGAATTAAATAACAATGGGATATACTTATGATAAAATATAACTGATTTCTGCCAAATACATCATATATTGTCTGGACTTTACAAAATATATCTGATTCGATCAAAGGCCTCGTAGAAAAAATAAAAATAAATAAAGAGTCAATAACTATGGGATCTTAGAGATAAGATTATGATCACAATTGCTAATTAAATAATACGTGGCCACTTTTTTCTTTAATGGGACCTGTCGCATTATTATGTTTTCATTTGAACAGGCAGATGAAGAAGAACAAGAGATGTTGAGGTCAAAAATAGAAACAGGAATAGGAGCTTATAACGAAACTCACAGTCCCTCTTTGAGCATCGACTCTCATTACTAAGTAATTTTTTTGGCTTCTCTCTTTAGTCATTACAATGAATAATATGGCCTCTTTTCAATTTCTTCTTTCTTTTCTTTTTGTTTGTCCATCACGAAGACTTCTTTTGGGTTTATATAATGTCTATAATAATCGTACGCATTGTTTGGGGATGTGGAATGGTATATATATTTGTCCATATAGAAAAAGAAAAAGAAAAAGAGATGTGCTTCATATTTTTCACTGTGCTAGAGAATGCAATTGTAATAGTAAGGTTGGTTAATGAAAAAACTTAACAAAAAAAAGTTAATGAAAAATTAACAAATCGAAAGATATCTAACCATTATCCGACTCATCAATGGGCAAGGAAATAATTTGCGTCTCCACCATTACATAGAGGCTATCAAAAGCTGGAAAACCATGTTCTCCGAAGTGAGCTTCACCTTTCGACACCGAGAAGCAAATCAATGCGCAGATATGTTGGCTAAACAAGCATTATTATGTAATACTCAATGGTCATTGTACCACACTTGTCCTCGATTCCTCCAACATACTGTAATTAACGATTGTAACTTTGATAACTAATAAAGGTGAATTAGACGTAAAAAAAAAAAAAAAATTCGAAAGATATCTAATAACAAAATGATAATAACATAAGAATAAGAAGATAAAGAAAAATACATTTAGTGTTTTCTCTTGTATATGTTTTAATTTTCAATATTCGCACTGTTAAACAAGTGTGCACTTTTCAATTTTCAATATAGAATCAAGGTCTTTTTTCTTGTAAAGAAACAAGGTAGAACAACTAAAAGAAAATAAAAATAAAAATGATGAAAATTTCATACGATTAAAAAGAAAACTCTTCGATAGCGCAGCGCACAAAATAATTTAGGAACAAAAGGAGACAATACAGAGAATTTTAGAGTTGCACAACATATATGTACATGAAGGAGTTCAGACTTCAGAGTTTCGCTACCTGGTCTGAAACGGCAGCGTTTTTACCAGTCTTTAAGCAAGTCTCCTGCAATATCTCGGTAGCTGACTTTCTTTTTCTTTACAGGAGGAGGAATTGCGTCTGCATCTTCCTCTGCGTTCACAGAAGTAGCATCAGTCTCGCCGTCGAGTTTTCTTTTCTCTGAAGACTCGCATTCACCAGAAACATTAGCCAATCTACTACTTTCCCCGGTGGTTCGGTTTGACGTCTCTGTGTTTTTCAGACTGAGGCTCGGTATCATGTCCATCAACATAGCTTGTACTGGATCCTCGTGCATTTGTAGCTTCTCCTTCGTATCCATCTCAGTATTTGCATTTCTAGAATCTTGTGAGGCCTCTTCAACTGCTACTGTGTTGTCTCTTTGCAGTGATTCTGTGTACTTTGCTACGTCAGGCTCTCGGGTTTCTTCATTGTTGTCTTCCACTGATCTACCAGCTGCATTACTCTCTTCCGCTTCTGCATACTCATGTTTTCTGTCATCAAAATCATCATCTTCCTCAGACTCATCTCCCCCTATCTTCGAAGGCTTCTTGCCTCTTCGTGATCTCTGTACTCTCTGGGTTTGTCCCACACGAGACTTTCCTCTCTTTGCAGATTTTCCTCTCCTAGAGTTTCTTTGAGCCTCACCTAACGAATCTGTGCCTTCTGCTATATCACTGAGTCTTGTTGAAACCTTTTCTTCAGAAGTATCACCCTCCTCAGTTTCATCTCCGCCTATCTTAGAAGGCTGCTTGCCTCTGCGTCTCTGTACTCGTTGCAGTGAGTTTGTAGAAGACCTTCCCCTTTTACTACTAGCTCGAGCATTTGACCGTCCTCTAACCGTTTTAGAGGAAGCTGGCTCTTCGGTTTGAGCATTACCACAGGAAGCTTCCTCCGTTGTATCATGTTCGGAATTACTGAAGCAAACAGAGAAAAAATCAGTAGAAGCTTTTTCTACTAACAAGCCCTAATATGGATGAGAGACTAATTTATATTTCATTTGTAGATAAGAACTCATCAAAAAGTGTTGTTGACTCACTCTGATTCTTCAGTATCAGACTCTTCCATATGCTTTGGCCTCAGAGTGTAGACGTCCTCACACAGTTTTTGCTCTCTTTGCAAGCTATCCTCTAACCAGTGCGCGCTAACAACATGCAGCCCTCTCTTCAACAAACGACGTTTCTCCATTTCGCTGAAACTACTAAAGAAAGACCAGAGAACAGAGCCTTAATCCTCATTATGATGCATTGTAAAAATGAATAGTAGAAACTCAGAAATTGTGGAATACCTTTTTGAAACTGAAGTAAAATCCAAAGAGTCTTCTGCTATAGCAAGGACTACAAGGTGTGACGCATGAGTAAGATTATTGCTAACTTTACCACCACTCATTAAGACTTCAAGCGCTAATCTCTTAGCCATAATTCCCAACAGGGCTTCTTCTTCAGTGCTCCTTCAAGTAAGAAATAACACATTGAGGATAATGATGATGAGTATTGCTTTAGGTAACTGACATCTTTAAAAAACTTAATAAAACAAGAGAAGCCTTACAATGTTTGACTATACGGGTGAAAGTAAATGCAGCAGCCGAAGAAGCAGGACCATCTTTTCTCTGGACATAACTTTTTCTTGTAGTATTCAATGGATTTTGAGTCTTCTGATTGCTTGGCATTGCTTAAGACCTGGAAACGAAGAAAAAGAGATTGCAACTCGATAATATGATTTCAATAAAAGATCTCAAGAAGTGAAAGAACATTTTCAAGATGGATACCTGTTTGAGACCTTCAAGGTCTAAATCCCAGAAATAAGAATCGGAAAATTCATCAATTTCATCCTGTAATTTGGTCCTTGAAGCATCAGTGAGATGGAGGAAGTACCTTCGAGAAGTGGGCAATTTTTCATTAGACGAGATATCAATAGCACAAGAAACCTAAAGCAGCTTATACCATAAGATAATGCTGCAAGGACTCACTTTGGCTGCAAAGGCAGCAGATTATTTCGTGAACAACAATCTAAGAACCATGAAAAGTGGATGACATCTCGCTGACGCTTTGATGCCTGATACTTTATTCCTGAAATATTATCTCATTGTCATGCTCTTTTATCGTTCAAAGTGTAATCACATGTACAAAAGGGTTGGCTAAGAAATCAATATGTCAAAGTAAGAAAGTGATGTACCACTGCTTTCCGCTGCAATGCAATGAGTCACTGAATTGTTTAAGTTCATTGAGAACTTCCCTCCATTCTCAACCACCATTTTGTGGAAAGTATCAAGCGAATGGGACCGAGGCAGGTTAACAAAATCTGTTAGCTTTGTCAAGGAAATAACGAAGAGTGGAGTATGACAAAATTATCAAAGTTTGCAAGTTCAAGCAATTTCAGTACTTATCCATGTAAAAAGGTATCTAATTACTGAAAACGCAATCAGCAAGAAAAGAGTACCCTGGTGAGGATGGCCAGAGAAGACGATTCAATATTGAAACATGTCAAAGGATACAAAATATCATATTTGAGAAGATTGAGGTCTTGCCCTTAATATCCGATACATCGGTTTGAGTAAACTGAGAGGGGACAAGAGAGACATTCTTTTTCTCTCCTCTCCTGGAGGATTTAATGGCTTTCGGATTGTCCTGTGTGTTTTCAGATTCCTTCTGTTTCTGTGTGGTGCCGTTACTCGAGTTCACCAATTCCACAAAAGCTGCAAAGTAAACATCAGCCGGACGAATAAAGCGGAAGGAAATCGGTTATTTCAAAACTTTCATGAAAATGGGAACCTTGGACACTTTGTTTGATTCTTTTAATACTCACCCTGCACATCGAGACATTCATGCCAAGGTTTGTCATATCTTACTTTATCAATACGAGGAAACCTCAGGCTGTAAGGTGCAACAAACACCTGAAAAGAAGCAGAGTTTTACATGGAATACAGCATACGCATCATAAGCGACAAATCTGTATTGTTTGATACCGAATAAAAGACAAAAATATTAGAGGTTACTGACAAATCTTCACATTCTCAATCTTATAGACATACCTCAGACCTTATTGTCCTAATGTCACTGGTGATGGAAAGTATTATTGATCTGCAACAAACAGGAAAAATATTCAACGACTGGCTAAATATGGATTTTCTGCGTCAGTAGAGGAAAATTGGCTAAATGACAGGAAACAAACTTTTCCGGGCTTTCAATCCAAACGTCCGGTCTCTCTTTTGAGTGATTTGTGACCTGATAAAAGCTTGGTGGAGCCTTCTTTGGGTGTTCATTTTTTCTGAAACACAAACAAGATATGTGATAACTAGTATAGAAAGCGGCAGTTTTCTCAACTGTCAAAATACTAGACCAAAAAACCATCTAGTTTTGATGTATAACAATACATGTAGCTGTTTTTTGTGAGATATATCTTATAGTGGAGAATTTTCTTACATCAATTTAATTTATCCCATATTGTTATATATATTTTTGTTTAAATGAAATGAGAAAGGAAGTAAACGATTCCGTCTCTTACTTGAAATAAGGCTTCAGTTTGCTTACAACAGTGTCAAGCTCATCATCAGAAAGTCCTGTGCCAACTCTACAAAAAGACATAAATCTGCAGGAAGAGAATACCTTATTATTGATAGTTAGTCCTGAAATGTCAAGGCAAACAACTACCAATTCTGATGACAAGAAAAGCTTTAAAGTTTTCAAAGTTCTCTAAAGACTGTTCCAGTAGTTTCTATTGATAATCTGATTCAACGTCTATGAGAACATCTGACTCCATCGAAATACTTACCGCCTGGGATACACATTCGCCTCTGCCCGGTCAGCCAATGCGACGAGAAACTGTGCTACCTCCCCTCCTCGACGCCCAGAGCCATAGTATCCTCCTGGTAAAGATGTAACAAATCCCCCATAAGATCTAATGGGAGAAGAACACCACTTTTGAACAAGGAAAAGTAAGCATATCAAGTGCACACCTATTATAAGAACATCTAGATCAGAACCAGCCCGAATGTATTCAGGCTTCAACTTCATCCACTTGCCACTACGATCTCCAGGTTCCCATTTAGATCCCAGGTCTTTAAGTACAACTCCTTCATCTCTGAGGAGAAATAAAAATTGAATAAAAATACTGGAACACACATCTGCGAAGAAAATCGTACTAAAAGTCTCTATACTAGAGGGTATATTCTGACAAGAAGTATCATTGTTCACATAAGGTCAAGAAGGCACCATCCAAACGTTTTGAAAAATTTATGAATAGTGGCAAAAGAAACTTTAGCTGGATTTAGAATAAGAAAATAAACCTGTTTTCCACTGTTTCTTTGAAAAATCGCTCAACATCAGCTGCAGAATGAGCAACAATAGACCAACTAGGTTCCCCTGCAAAAAGTAACGCTAACTAGTTGTAAAATGTGTGGTGGAGGTACCATACGAAATTAAATAGCTGTTTTCAATGTAAAGAAACTCAAAATGAAGCAAGACTCTAAAACCATAGCACATATTAAAGAAAAATCCCATCACTTATTTATCTTTATTTTAACTCTGACACACGTGAACTTTCCTGAGTCAGCAGCTAGACTTAGTAGTCCTTACCTGAAGGACGATGAACGTTGAGACCACCTTCAGGTACTAAAACTTCAAGTCGACCTTTTAAAGGCTTAACAACTTTCCTCAGGAGTTCATGTCGTTCCTTTAAACTCTGGTGGATGACGCTAGTATCTCCAACATAAAGAACATCAAAGGCAACATCTAGTACAAGGTCAAGGAAAAAGAAACTCTAAAATGGTTCCGTCATGAGATTCTGGAGTGTGGGGATTAAATCTCCTCATAAGGATACAACATAACTGCATTGGCAAATAAAAGAACATTAGAGTTTATAAAGATCCTCAGAAAGTTGCATCATAAAATCAGACAAATGGAACTTCACAAATGAACCTGTCTATGGCTGTCAAGACCTTCCCTTGCTGCCTTGGCTGTGAAGAATAGGACACGAAGGATCAAATCTACTGCAAGCAAGGCTATATTTTTCAAAATAAGGATACTGATTAGATGCCAAACCTATTTCCTGGTTCGAACCAAACTCAGCAAACCGATTAAGAGATGTATCCCAGACCAACATTTCACCATCAAGTATACACCTAGGATTATAAGAAAAGAAATCGTATATGTAAATCTTCCAAACTCGTAAAACCTTTCAGAACCTAAATAAACAGCAACTAGATTCTTACTTGTCAGCCAATATGTTTTGTACGATAAGATCCGACATAGCATGTGCATATTCAGAATGGTCAAGGAAGTTCCTGCAGCATCACTATAAAAAGTAAATTGCGAATTCCCTATCTGTGACACAAAGAGACCGGTAGAGAGCTTGAAAAAACTACAGCATTAGACCAGAAACCGCTAAGTCACAAAAGAGTCATAAAGCCATATGCAGATCAATTTTTTAATCAAACATTTTAATAGCAGGGCAGACAAAAGAGATGTCGCTCACCTAGAGAAGTAATGTATCTCAGTCCCATTTTTGTGTATTTGTATGCGATCCCCATCAAATTTGCATTCAGCAACAACATCTTTCCCGTGTAGCTATGAAGAGGGGGAAAATCTCACGCATTGGTTAAAGAAGTAAAACACCAATAAAAGACAATGTTTATAAAAAAAAATGGACAGGGAAATGGAGTAAGCTAACAATAGAGTTGATGGACTATACCTTCTTCCAAGCAGCATTTACATCACCGCTGCGCATAGCTAACTGGGGTCGTACGGCTTTTCCAACCTCTATATCCTACAAAGTAAGAAACAAACAAGCCACCACCAGTAGAGAGAAAGTCAACACACCAGGCACAAAGTCTGAGGAATTTAACACAATAAAAGGTTGAGCAGCCAGATACATGAGAAAAGACATATGCTTTGGTGAGCATGGAAATGAACAACAATCATCAACTGACAGGCTATTATAAAAGGATCTAATTTCACACTCATCTTTATGTTCATCAGTTTTAAGATAATTTCTATAGCTCAATTGTATCTCAAAAAAAATGTACAACAGTTCGTGCATTCAAGTATTTCTCATAGCAAACACCTGGCGCTTGTGCCGCTGGTGTCGATCCCTCAGCTTTTCACAGACTAGTTTCAAGTCACATGTGACATTAAACAAGTCCTCAGCATCTGGATGGAACTCCTGAAAAATGCTCTTCTCGCTCATTCCCAATTTCAAATCTGTAAAGCAATCAACAACAAATCTGAATGAAGATGGAAAGCAAAGGATGGAAACAATGTATGAAGAAGAAGGAAAAGCCCCTCTACCTTTAAGAATGATCCTAATTACCCACTTCATTTCCTGTGCATTCGTCTTCTGAATCAGAGTGGAAAGAAGAGAAGTTTTTTCTGCTCTGCATTCCATAGATTTCAAAACACGATACGAGGATAAACAATTACAAGCCAATTCAACCATCGAATCAAACAGGGAAATGAAGAAAATGTAAAAAACTATCTTCAGACCTGTTCTCACTCGAAGCTAAACGATCAAGCAAATCATTCAATTCCTTAATAGTCAACCCACCCGAAGCCATTCCTTGCCTACGTTGGAGTACCTGATGTTCGCCACAAACAAAAACGTTTCGAAATCCGAACCCTAAAACCCAAAACCAAAACCCAGAAAGTCAAATGAAATCCTAACCTCAGCGGCAATTAGGGAAAAGTTTCCGGCGTTGGCCCCAGCCTTAGCGGTTCCACCCTTGCGCCAATTGAGAAGACGAACGGCGTCGGGAGCATCGCGAGAGACGCCGAGGGCATCGATGAGACACGTGGCGAGCACCGATTCCTTGAGACCGTAGCTACCGCGTTCTCGGTCAAGCGCCGGTATAATGAGGCGGACAGCGACGAAGTAGTCGGAGGGTTTGCAGTACGTGTCTAGAAACTTTCGGAACTTAGAGCGTTTCTGAGAAGAGGTTTTGCTCTTCTGAATCCAGTTGAAGAGAGACACTAGAACACTGAATTTGATCTCCTCCGTCATCTTCTTCACCGGAATTCGTGATTCTTCGTAAGAAGACAGTGAATTTAGATCAGAATAGGGTTTGATTCCCCGTCGGAGAGACACTGAGAAGCGTCGCCAATAGCTTGCCGGAGAAGAAAGTCGCGTTTGAAAGTCGCACGGCCTAAAAGGAACGAACTTTGGTTAAAATTGACAGCGACTCTTCTCTCCCGGTACCAGTTTATTCGGAATGACACATTTACCCTAAAACTTAATTAATCGATCAATTTAGTCCAATATGTAAGACAATTATTTTCTAGAAAATCATAACATTTCAAAGCCTTAGATCAAATGACTGTCAGACTGCATGATTTTGTTTAGATTTGGTATCAAACTGGGAATTGGTTTAAAAAAAGGTATCAAACTGGGGAAAAAAATGTACAGTATAGTAGATTGGCACAAAGTTCTGATGCCAGAAAAATGTCAATAATACAGTTTTAAATTATGAGTTGAAGTTACATTTTTCTTATTGACATTTTAAACAAATATATATTTTAAATTTGTATAGAACCATAATCTTTATAAATAGAATGAACGTGAATAAATTATATTGACAGATTATGATAGGAAATATTAAAGCCCCTGATCTACTAGTCCCAGATAATGAGATTGAGATCATATCAGAAGTAACAACTAGTCCGAAAAGCCAATGAAAACATGAAGATTATATTTGGCTTTAAGGAATGTGAAATTGTATAAATCAAGCTCATGATATACAAGGTTGAATTCGCCTCTTTCGTCCTGGCTTTGACTCCGGAGTTTTAGAAAGTTGATCCGTTGAATCCAAAGAAGGGTCGCTGAAATAAATAAATAAAAAAAGATCCAAGAATTAAACATACTTTCTAATCACTGATACAAGGTAAACAAGATATATTTGTGCATCCAGAACACTGTGCTTTCATCATCGCAATTCGCAAGATTCTAGATTTAAGCTAAATCAGGATAGTCTATGTCAATCCTTGAAAATGCTTTCACGTACGACGCAAGTAACATCTTTCTTATGCAAAGCTAGCTTTTTAGCAAAAAGCAAAACATACCGGGGAATCGTAGAATTTGATATAAAAGCGGGAGCTATCTATAGAGAGCTTGATATGAAGAATCTCGGATATCGTCTCGCTAAGCTTTCCGTTAACGGCTGGTCCCAATCCTCCGATAGATATCAGTTCTCCATACGCAGCTGGTTCCTCGGTACCAGCAAATGCAATAGGCACTCCGCTATTAAGCAGTATCATTACATACTGAAACCAACGAAGAAGAAGAAGAACAAGAGCAGACATCGTATAAGTGATGATGAACAGGCGAATAAAATAATAATTAAACGTAGCTCACAAGTTAAGACCACAACACAAGAATCCTTTATTTCTTTTAACAAGGTTCCATGAATTGGTAAATATGAAGAAAAATTCTCAAGAGTTGAACACTTTCTTTGGCTCTGAACAGCAAGAATTTCCCTTCAAGTTATATTTTTCTAGCAATGTTTTATGAAATGATAATATTTTAGATGAAATATCTCAGAGTACTTGCGATTCATACAGGAGTTTCATCAAACACTTCATCTGCATATATTATTTAGCAGCAGTACAAAGCGAAACAGCTACTTAAACACTGTCAATATATTTCATATAACCAAAACCCTAAACAGGAGGCAAAGCAAACAAAAAAGTTGAAAGTTTTAACAGAGGATTAGTGTTTCTTTACGGATTCAGGTTTGCCGATGATCTTAGCGACGGCCTTAGTAGCGTCCTTGAGTATGTCGGAGCATGTGACGGCGTCGACTGGTATATTAGTGAAGAGATTTAAAGTGGGCATCTTCTTGATTCTTCAGACAAAATCAAAGCTATCTCTCGCAAACCAGTGGCTTTCAGGTTAGAAACGCAACAGGATAACGAGTACCTACCATGTTATTTTTAGTGCTAGCTTCTTTTTTTTTTTTTTTTAATAGAATCAAATTTCACATGAACCAATCGGAAAATTAGTCTAATGGGCTAGTGGCTACAATTCGGCCCACCAATACGTGATTTTCGTACCCAAATGTAAAATTTCCGAATATGAAAAACGAAACTCCAAAAGATTTGAACTCTTTCTTCTCTTCTTACAGTTTGTTTGGAGGGGACCAATATGATTATGTCTTTCCTAATTTCTTTTCATTTTATATTGGAATCAGCATGGAGAATCATGCAATCGCATAACTCTTTGACTCTTTCACCTTTGCCTTTCCATGCTTCTGATAATCTTTTAAGTTTTAACCTTTTTAGGATCCAATGAAAAAAGGTAACAGACAAAAGAATAACAATAGCGTTTATTTTTAGGATAATTACGTCAAATGAAATAATGTTTGCATTAGACAAGTAAAAATGAAACAAACAACATTTTTCAATCTATTATATAAAGAGTGGGTTGTGTCTCACAAACTTGACACATCATCACATTTTCTTTTGACACATCAGCTCTCTAAAATTTAATTTAGAATTTAATTTTTTTTAAAAAGAATATGAAGAATCAGAGTACGTCACAGCCTCCTCTATTTAAATCACATAGTTCAAGATGAATTTAATTAACAATGAAAATTCCAAAGCTCTTTTCGATTCAAATTTCTCTTCTTATTAATAGTTATTTTGGAAAACCATTAGTTCCCTCCTCACCTTTCATAATTGTATCTCATCAGATACTCTTATAATTTCATTGCTTCCACTTGGATTGTGGTGATTCTCGACACTTAAAGATATATGCTCGTTCGTTCAACTGATTGATCGGATGTGATAGTCATATCATATGTAACTCTTTTATTCAAATTTGAACCGTCTGAAGGGAAAGTTGACAAATGAAATTAAAAAGGCTCGGATCTGAGTGGAAATACTCAGATTATTTCGCTTGGTGTTCCTTTCTTGACGAAAAGAGGTTTGCGTGAGGTTATTCCTTGCATCTAGATTAAGTTATACCAGTGTAAAGAGATGAACACGACTTGATTTCAATTGTTTGATGAAGTTCTTTAGAGAGCTTTCTATTGTAGTATTTCGAGTAATAAGTATTAAATAAAACTGTCTTGGTTTATTTATTTAGTTATATATAAATATGTATATATTTCCATGAAACTCTTCTGGTATCAGTCACCAAAGTTTACATCGCTTCTGGTATTTTACAACTCAGAGTTCTTTTGTTCATCAATTATTATAAGTAAGGAAAATATTTACATATATATTGTAAGCATATGACTGTGCTTAATTTTGCAGGGAAATGGTCGCTTATATTGTAAACATATTAGTTTTTATACTTGAGTACAAACAAAAATTAGTTACTCGAAAATTTTGCTAAGAAAAAACAATTATATTTTCCTTTTTCTATCCGTTCACCAGCACAACTTGTGCTATATTGGATTTGTTTCTCTTGTAAATTGCAGTGGTGTTATTATCGCTGAAGGCATTCTTAGCGCCAGAAAGTCTCTTACGAAAGTGTTCCTTCACGTTTGATTTTTGGAATTTTATTTTTTAATCTGTTTTTAGACTATATAAACAAAGGTTTTCTCCTAAAGTTTGGTATTGTTTATTTCTAATTGTCAAAATTATTTTGATTTTTCCTGTTGTATGTCCAACTTTTCCATTGTGGCTGTGTTGGAGTTTTGTACCCATTGCTACATCGCTTTGGTTATTGCCTGGATTAAAAAGAATCCATCATACTCACGTGGTCTAGAAAATATAATCGTTGTACATAAATGAAGTCTACATTGTGAGAATGCGAAACTTGGTTTGCTAAATGCATTATGTATGAAAATTATGGTAATAAAGAAGGGAAGTTAGTTCATGAGAATATTTCTATCGTAATGTTGGTGAACCAAGGAATCTGGAGTTTGTAACAAGTTTGAAATAATGTGCCATTTTTAAGGATTAAAAATTTAAAATCAACAAAGGTTTTCTTAGATTTTTGCTCATTCTTAAGGATGACTTGATTCTTTGTCCTAGAGACTTACCAAAGCAGTTTCAAAGGAGTTAGAGATTCTCACAATTCTTTACTCATCAGTTCGTGTCACAGGGTGTACTGATCATCCATGTGATTTATAATTCAAAGTTAAGTCCAAATAATTAAACCACTTATCACTTCACATCACTTCAAAAAACAAACAATTCGAAGTTTAGACCAAGCATAATTGAAATGATCCCCTCCAATTTGTAAGAGAAGGAATACTTCACTTGTTCTTTGCAACTATTTGGGTTACTCTTGAGCCATGACCCAGTTGATGAACATTTAAGTTCACATTTGCAATCTCACTTGGATTTTTCTTATATTCTATAACTGTGTTTTCATTTTACTCGATTCTCAAATTTTCAATGTACAATTACTAATAAATTTATACTAACATAATATACAAACTTCTACCATTCATGTCTATTCACATAGATTCTAACTCTCAATATTAAAAAAAAAAAAAAAATCCGTTAATTAGTAATGACTTGATGTACAGTAATATTCAAATGAATTCTTTAAGTCTATCTGCGTCAAAATTAGAATACAAAATATACGTACACTTGAGTCTGAGAGATTAACTAAGATAGTATAACCCTTGAGATATTTTTACAGTTTATGTCAGATGAATTTATGGTTAAATGGGGTTTATAAGATGGGATATATTTCTTCGACAACAAATAGTTAACCTTCATATATTTTCTCTATCGTGTGGTTTCTGTTAACTTATTATATAAGACCAAAATTTTCTAAGACCCATTAAATGTGGCCGAAATAACCACATGGTAAGATAATTGTAAACAAGTTCCCACAAGAACAGAGTGTCCAAATACGTAATAGTTTTAAACTTTAAGGAAAAAAAAAAGAATCTTATAATTGTGACATTTTAGGGCTTCAACGTATCCGCATCCTTTCTGATTACTTACATTTTGATGAAATTACCACGATGTGAATTATAACGATTGAAAATGACCGTTAGGGAAGAAAATTTTCTTCGCAATTTATGATGATTTTACGACGATTTAATTTTTTTAATTATTATTTTATAAAAACAAAACATCGTAAAAAAGTCGTAAATGACGACGGTTTTACAACGATTTTCTTTGCAATGAATTAATAACGATTGTGTGCTAAATCGTCGTTAATTCGTCGTTAATTTGCGACGACAATAATTCGTCGTAAAAAATCATTGCTAACTCTGTTTTTTCTTGTAGTGAAAGCTTTAATATCATCTTCTCTTTGATTGCAATAGTTTGTAACTTGTAATAGTTAAAATGTGAAACAGAAAAAGTCAGTTTCAAACCGAAATCTAAACTAATCATACGAGATAATTTATGATCAAAAGCGCAGTAAATAATTTGGATCAATCTAAACCCACAAGACGAATCTTAATAACCACTAAACCACCATAAAGCGGTTAAAGTCAGTTTTTTACAGTACATCTAAATTTTTTACAATCGCTGTGTTAATAACGGTATCTAAGACAATAATCCTTTTAAGTCCACATAAATCACAACTCAAATATATCTCATCTTACTTTTTACAAACAAGGGGAGTCGCATATGGTTCCATTTCATTAATTTATCAAAAGACAACTTTTACAAAATTAACGAAGCAAAATAGATTGAACAGACTAATATCCTTAGAAAAAATGGTATCTTCGAATATATATAAACTCCAATCACACGTGCAGTAAAAATGGAAATTCTTAATATATTTATCTCCCCCAGAACTTTCACGGTAATATGGTAGATAATTTAGTTAAAAAAAAAAAAGAGATGTCACATGTTGTCATAAGAAAAGAATGTAACATACGAACAAAACTAACTTTGGAGCAGTGCCATAACAAGGGTTATCCTGTTTTTTATCTTGAGGTTCAAATTCTTTCCAGTACACCGTCTTTAGACTTTTTCTCTAAATTCAATTTTCCTATAGATTTTTTTTTTTGTCAAGCGAATTATGTTAAAGCATCTAGTTCGGCTTTCAAGTTCTGTTTATGGTCCCCCCAAAAATGTATGTTTTAAATATTTTCTACTAATAAGAAGTATGCATATGGAACAGCTGATTGACCAGAAATTATCTTAAACAATATAACGTTAGTTTGAAGATATATGATAAGCATTACTTTAAAAGAAAGCACATGACAAATTCTAAGCAAATCGAAAAAGAAATATGCATCATCACCGGAATTAGTATGATCATGAGTAAACTATAGCTGATGAGTAAACAAATTTGTATATATTTATGTTATATATATAAAAAAAATCAGATTTTGGAACAAGATATTTTCCGGGCATACTGTAATTTTGTCAACATGTTTGAGTTTTTTCATCTAGATATTTATACCCAACTATATAAATCAAGAAATGGAGACGAAACCGAGAAAGTATCAAATTACCTATCACAAAATATTGATTGAATTTTGTAACTTTTTTACCTCAAACTTTTTACCTCGAGATTCATGGCCAATGGATGAATCGGAGAGAAAAATTATATAAGTAAAAGAGGAACATCCGAATTACACTGATGGCTAGTGAATATATACTCAAGCATAGATTCTTCAATGGATAACAATACTAAATAATTAAGTCTTATCACTCTCATGTATACAAGTGAATTTTATATGTATTTTTTTCTGAATGTTTAGTTGTGATTATCGCTTCTATTCATAGTAAAAGTACTTTATGTTCGTAATGCGGAATAGAAAATGAAACGATAAATTATGTATTTTTCGAATGTTTTCTGACTATTTAAACATCGACTTTATATATTTAAATAACAAATGATTCTCAGGTATAGATTGAATATGCAAATTTGGAGAAAAGACACCACTTTTTTAGGGATGAATTATCACTAATGCAACCTTTCAACGATACATTCAAAGTTAGATGGGTTGATCTTGACAATGGTTATATCTGGGATCACCGCCTAGTCTGCGTTTTTTCAAAAAAAGACTGAGAAGCATGTATAGTCCAGTCCGCCTTTGCTTCTTAGGAAATTATCTTCTGTCATAAATTTTTTCCCCTTTTTTTTTACCTTGAACAGTCTTTAAATGCCGAAAATATTAACTGACCTGATATATGACTTTATAGATTGCCGTTGAAAAAAATTATTGGTTTATGTTTTGCTAAGTACAAGTGTCGTCATAATGTTTGGATAAAATGTAGAGTTTTGATAATATACGGATAACTAGTTGGTATCTTATCTCTCTCTAGATATATATAATGGATATGTGTTTTATAACATACTATAGAAAATCTGATATCTAATCAGGAGTCATTGAACATAATGAGGTAAACGTAGGTTTATCTTTCGCCACAAATTACTTCAAATGATACCAAAAAGGTTCCAATCATTTTTTCTCTCACATACACAATCCACTAGCCCACCATTTTCTCTCTCTCCCCACTTTGGGGTTTAAAAATGGCATTAATAGAAAAAATTATTATTAGTTTTAAGTATGACAATGTTGTAAGCTTGATTGCTTCTAGTTACGTAGCCAATTAGCCGTAGCTATATAACACACGTCAAATATTTTAATTTATTTATGTCAACGTATATTATGTTAAGTCCATTATTTTTCTGTTGTTTTTTTAGGGGGAAAAAGTTATATGAATTTAAAATTTTGTATATTATATAAGCAGTCACGTACTTTAATTAAAATAAATCAACAGGAAAAAAATTAGACTTATGTATATATATATATATATATATATAACCAAAACCAATCTGACACAAACTACAGATAAGAATTATCAATGTAATAATCTGTGTGCTTTATGCTAAATTAGTAAAATTGGAAAGCATTAAGCAAAAATGATCCCCAAATTTGTAAAGTCGGTTCTTAAGAACACGTCAAAACGTCTCCGACCAGACGACCACAATCAGTTAATAGAGAAAACGCCACGTCATCTAAGAAATCTAGTAGTACCAATTATATTAGGCCACGTCGATGGATAAGGTGACCTTTTCTCGTTTTCTCTTTAAGATCCCAAAAAGATTTGCAGGTTGGGATGACGATGATGGGGTGCAATTTTTTTTTTTGAAAATAATCCAAAAGCAGAATTACATTTTTTCCTCATACCATTGATTATTATCTAAACCCACATATTTAATTATTCAGCGTCTAACCTGGATAAACCCTGTCTGATAAAACCTGATTTTTTTCAAATAATGTATACATAAGCAAAAAAATTGATAATGAATTGTGTCTAAAATTTTTTTTATTATGTTCTCATACTAAACACTTTTTCTTAATCATGAATCAATATTCATACATTTTTTCTCCATAATTATTTTTGAAATGTAATTAATTAATATAGAGTTTAGAAAATGAAAAAATCATAACGCATATAAAAATTACATAAGTCAATTTTCATGAAAAAAATAATAAATAAGATAACAAATCAAATTCAAGATCCAACCAAAAAAAAAAAGTTCTTTTGTTTGTGAAACTTTTATAAATTAAATCTTTACGCCAAAATATCAATCAAACTCTAAACTGACACAATATGGTCCATATCTAACTGATTAAATTGAAATTCGATTTTTATTTGACTTCTAGATATTACAAAGTGAAAAGCCTAAACAAAAAAAAGGAACAACATTTTTATTCAATTAAAGACTCAAATACACTATTAAACTAAAACGTTTCATTTAACATTTATACCAATGTTTTTATATTATTTTTTTGTATATATGATAGTTTCGGATCGAAACCTTAAGTAGACTAAACATGTAGTCACCAACTTCGTGCCATGAATTGGAAAATTAATTCCCTTGCATAAACAACTCCAATTAGGAATTCATAATCTTTCTTTGTTAGCAATATTGTTTCTTATTTGATTAGATACTGATACAGATAAATAGAAATGTACTCCATTAATCAACAGATGAAATGTTTTGTTTTAATTAAAAATAAAAAAAACACCACCATGAATCATGAGATGCATGAGCCGATTAATGTTTTGTATTCTGATACAGTCATGAAGATAATTTTAAAATTTGCAAATAAAAATTTTTCCTTATTAATTTCGATGTTTCCGGTTAAAAAATATAAAATTCTTATTCTGGGAGAATCCATATCCATAAGAAATATCGTTTAATTGTTTTATAAAAAATATATAAATTGATACAAAAGTGAAAAAAAATCCAGCAGTAGACCCCATACACTCCAGAACTGCCGATTGCGAGCTATCTTGTCCTTCTTCACCATATGCTCCTTCACTCTCTCATCTTCTTCTTCCACCACTCTCTCTTTCTCTCTCTCTATGTTTCGCCACATCTCAGTTAAATTACCCAAGCAAATCAATAACAATTAAAACTCTCTTCACAATTTTTATTTACAGAGCTCTTCATCACAAAAACCCTAATCTTTTCTTGTTATATATCTCGTGACTCTTGTTTCTCCTCCAATCTCTCTCTCCCTCTCTTCAAACCAATCGGGTTCTTTCTGTAAAACTTCACTCGTTGGCCAATTTCTTTGGTTTTCATGAAAATCTCAGATTCCAATTAGTTTTCTTTTTCTAGTATTTCCTTTTTTGATATTTCTTAAGAATGATGAACATTTGTAAGAATCTTTCTTTCCTCTTCCTCTTTCCCTAAAGTTTTGACCTTTTTGTTTTTCTATTTCTTCAATTTTGTAGTTTCTCAAAACTTTTAAAGTTTTCTTGAGAGGGTTTAGGGTTTATCATCTTAAATTTAAGCACAATTCAATTAAATTTAATTTCCCTCAATTTCATAAACCTTAATTTCGTCACTCTCTCTCCTCCACACAAACAGTAGAGTTTCGTACTGTCACCAAAATTTCCACTTAGAAAGTTTTGGTGCTTTTAACTTTGATTATTACCTTCTCAAATCCGAGATTTTTTTCCTGAATTCTCCACTCGAATTGAGTTAATCCAGCTGTCTGATTTATAACTTTCTCGGGAAAATGGCTCACTTTTTTCTCGGCCAAGAAATGTCCGCTTGCTTAAACAGCGGCGGCGGAGCCGCCACCGCAGCATATAGCTTCGAGTTAGAAAAAGTGAAATCGCCACCGTCAAGCTCAACCTCGACGAGAGCTACATCGCCGTCATCAACACTCTCGGAATCTTCCAATTCGCCGCTCGCAATCTCAACGAGAAAGGCAAGAACGCCGCGAAAACGACCTAACCAGACTTACAACGAAGCGGCGGCTCTTCTCTCCACCGCTTATCCAACCCTCTTCTCTTCCTCCTCAAGCAGCAGCAACAACTTGTACGCTAAGAAGAAAACTCACTCGAATTCTCAGTTTTACGGGTTCGTTAGATCTCCTCTTCTCGGTGATAACGACGACGGTTCCGAGCTGCTTCTCCCCTTCGAATCTATCGAGGAGCCCGATTTCCTGTTTCATCCGACGATTCAATCGAAATCGGATTTCTTCTTTGAGCAGAAGGAGGTGAATTCCGGAGTGTGTAACAATGGTGGTCGGGCAGGAGAAATCGACGAATCGGAGGTGAATCAGTTTGATTTTTCCGACGAATTCGATGCGGAGTCGATTCTCGATGAGGAAATCGAAGAAGGGATCGATAGTATAATGGGGAGTGTCGAGTCAAATTCCGGAGAGGTTCTCGAATCTAGGGTTTCGGGAATCAATCGTAGCCACCGAATTGGCCGGCTAGAGCAGATTATGATGATGAATCCGTGGAATCGAAGCTCTAAGGGATTCAAATTCGCCGGAAATTTTCCGTTGGGGCTTGGATTGAGAAGCGCTCTCAGAGAAAACGACGACGCAAACTGGTGGAGGTTTCACACCGTAGATTTCGAGCAGATCTCGCCGCGAATCCAAACCACCACAGTGGAAAACGTCGTCGTCGATGACGAGAAAACCGACATTAAAAAGTCGATCGGAGAGAAGAGCAAGAAGAAGAAGAAGAAGAAAGTTGCGGCGGCGACGCCATTGACGGAATCGAAGAGCACGGAGTCGAGTAAAGAAGATGCGGAGGAGAGATCAGGTAATCCGATGTTGAAGCTCGACTACGACGGCGTTTTAGAAGCTTGGTCTGATAAAGCGTCGCCGTTCTCCGATGAGATTCTGGGCTCGGAAGCTTCGAGAGCCGACGTCAATGTATGTGTTCTTCTCTAATCTCAATTCCTCGCCGTCGAAATTTGAATTATAGTTTTTTAATTTAATGGTAATTTTGAAATAGTTTCTTCGTAACTGATAAATCGGAATTCTGTGATAACTACTAGTATGCTGCCACGTGGCTCTTATTTCAGCGTCGGAACTTGACGGGACTGTGTTCTTACATGATTTAAATAATCAATAGTTATTAGAGTAATTTATTAGCTCTTCTCACAGTATCTGACAAGAATTTATTAAATTTGTGGAAAGTTCTTAATAATTAACCTCTGACTTTTTAATTAATTAACAATTGCGAAAAAATAAAAAGTTCTTCTCTTTTATTTATTTATTCAAGGGGAACTTTAGACTTTTGCACGTGAATTTTCACGTATAAGATAAATGAAGAGGTTTCAAAATTGATTTTGTATATATCCGTTTCGTCGTATACTTCTTTTTAGCATAAAGTCTTCAGAACATTGACAATGAATTCATGTTAGCCATAAGTAATGTACTAGAACAATGTCGGGAAATAAAAGGTGATATATGTTATAGCTTGTGAGGTTTACACCTATTCTTTAAGCCTCAATAATTTTTTTTTTATTAAAAAGAAATGAGTTAGTTGATAAATCCATGAACTGATGAGGAGTATGGGTTTTGGGGCAGGCCAGATTAGCTCAGATAGATTTGTTCGGAGACAGTGGAATGCGAGAAGCAAGTGTATTGAGGTACAAAGAGAAACGACGAACTCGACTATTTTCCAAGAAAATTCGATACCAAGTTCGCAAACTCAACGCAGATCAACGTCCTCGAATGAAGGTATCTCACCCACCTTAATCCGTGGTTAACACACATGTAGGTTTTTACCATCCATGATTATTATATGTTTTTTTAATATAGTTTTAAACTGGTCTTTCTAGATTAGTTTGAGTTTTATAGTTTTAATGTAGGAGATCTAGTTGTAGGACTTAGTTTGTTTTTTAAATGTTTTTCAATTCATAAAAATAATTTCTACGAAGATGAAAAAAAAACTCTATCGTGAATCTTTAATCCAACTGAGCTAATCCAACAGATAAAAATTCAAACCAAACCAAACCAAAATATAAAACCAAACCGAAACTTGAATATTTCAAACATTAAATCAAAATAAAAATAAATGATTTGTTTCCCAATATAAAAGATGTTTTCCTACAATCACTTTTCTTTTTCTCTTATTATTACTCTGAATTTTTAACCAGTCACAAGCGCCTAAATAAGATTTGGGTCAAGAGGGCAAAGGATATATAAATTGGATTTTTGATTAAGACAAGAGCCTAATATTAATGTTTCCTTCTTTTATGTGGTTGGTGATGGGATGTAAACAGGGACGATTCGTAAGGAGGCCCAATACGAGCACTCCAAGTGGACAAAGATAACAAAACATAAAAAGGAGCCAAGATTCACTCCTTTCATCTTTTTTTTTTTTCAATTTCTTTTTAGTTTTTGTATTTTATTTTTATTGAAATTTTGCCCTCCTCATTTTTTTCCCTTAATTTATGGTCCCTTTGGTTTATAATGTAGTTTTTTGCCCTTAAAATAAGGATTATTAAGGAGATTTTAGTTGAGAGAGAGAGAAAGTGAGGGATCAAAACGAATAAAAGCTTTTGTATTTGCACAAAAAAATGTGTTGAACTCATTTCATTGTCTTGTAGAAATGATACCCGTAGATATTTGTTTGTTTTATACACAATTGTATATATATGCAGAGCCAAAACAAATGGTATATTCAGTTCAGAGGTAAAAAATTTCAGGTCAGTGTAGAACGAGCCAGTGTCCTTGTGGAGACACCTAGTTGCATTCCAACACTAACTAACGTCTCTAAGGACCTACCACTGTTAGCCAAGAGATCCTCATCGATCCGGATCGTGTCCTGCAAAATGTGTTAAGTGAAAAAGAAGGTTGATGCACATTGAAAAAATCAAGTGAATGTATTATTATTAATTATTATAAGTGTAAATAGTGTTCTTAAGATTATTATAATAGGCTAACCTTTTCGAAGACGCATATAACGGTGCTTCCACCAAACGAAAAGTAACCAAGCTGCCAAGTTAAGATGAGGTAAGAAGATATTTTCTTCAAGTGATCATTTCTTGAGAAAATAAAAAAAGTCAAAACTGCTTACTTCGTCCCCTTTCTTGACATGGTCCCCTTCCTTTCTGACAAAACTGATGCTACCAACCATTGTTGCACCGATTGCAACAAAAGCCACCTGTTACATATTTATTACTTGACCTTGAAGTTATGTTGCATATGTTTATTATTCTGATTCGTTTCTAAAGATGGCTTGCAAAAATTTATTAACTCGTTGCAGCTTCAGAATCTCACATTAATAATTTCTAGCCATTCTATTTGTAAGCCGCATATCGAAACATAGAAAAGCTTGGGAGGGTACGAACCTTTCCAAACTCTGCTGTTGATATAATTACCACGCTTCGTTTATTTTCCGTGAATACATTGCAGTATTTGCTATTGACCGCTATTGGATTAACCTGTGAAGCAAAGATTCATCAACAAATGGGAAACAAAAGTGATTCTCTTAAATAAGCATAGCAGTGATGAGAGGAAATGATCTAGACTACATACCGTATATAAGCTTCCTGAAACATCCACAAACTTTTCAATTACTCCAGAGACAGGGACATGAAAGCGATGATAGTCCTGTAAAATTTTTTCAGGAAATTTGTCAAGTGTAACGGAGAGCCAAAAACGATTGTGTAGTGTTTTAGTCGCATTTCAAAAGGAAATATCTAGTCACCTGTGGAGCTAGTCGGAATATCACCAAAGATCCATCAAGGAAGGCATCTGGATTCACACTCTTCCCAAGGAGGCCTCTAATCGAAAACTTTCGACCCTATCAACGTAAGATGAGTACAGAACAAATAAGGATCTGTTGCAACATATCAGTTACATCTTTTGTTTTGAGATCTTGCATATCAATTATCATGTAGTAAGCTAGTCTAGAAACCATTTATACCTTGATCCAGAATCGGGTGCTATCCTCCACGGACTGAAATGCCATTAATCGACAATCAGCAGAACATACAGCAACATCATCACGGTTCATGTAAGCAATTGGTCTTGCACCAGGTTTCAACTTCCTGATGAAGAATTCATTGAACGTCTGCAAGTAAGAAAAATATTTTCAGTTTAATTAAAAAAATGTTACACAAGTTCACATTTAATTCAATCCCTTGCATACCTTAAAGTGCTGCAGAGGATACTTGACTTCAGCCATGTTTATTTGATCCTGCAACAGACAAACAATCTCAACTCCAAACCAAACAACCAAGGAAACACATTATTATAGCTTAACAGGTAGTAACTTTCCATGCCTTAAAGAAGTCTAGAAAGCTTGGTATCTTTTGTGCTGATTCAACTGAGTTCATTTTCTTTCCTTGCTTCTCAGAAAGTCTCTGCAGAATCTCCTTTGCCCCTGGATTCAAAAAGATCAATCAAAGTATGCAGAATTCGTGTCGATTTGTTAGAATGGCGTGATGCTGCAGAGGACGTGAAGCTTTAAGGCACAACGAAACTGTGTAGTGACAATACAATATAGCTTATCACATAGGTTAGAAATGGTCATGTGCATTTGAGAGGTAAGAGTCGTAATTAGTTTACCTTGATCCATAAGCCGAAGCCCGATTTTTGACTGGTAAATAGCTCTCATGGACAGAACAATCTTTGAGTCGATCAACTCTTCCACAAGCCTCTTACTCTTCCGGTCAATCACCTAAAGCAAGAAACAAAATACCAAGAAAAACCGTTTTTAAATTTGAATACATTTGTTCCCCATTGAAAAAAAAAAACTTTTAAGAATACAAAATTAGAGAGCCAGATTTTTGGCCAAAAGAAAAGAGTACCACAATATGTGAAGCACTTGAACCAGTATTCAAACCAAAGTCATAAGTTGATAAGTGTGTCCATTCACTTAGTTTGAACATCCATCTGAACATGAAAATACGAAGTGTAGATTAAGAGGGGAGATTTCTGACTATTTAGCTTATAAGAAAGAGATTTCTCACCCATATGAAGCTTGTCTATCAGTCAAAAAACCTCCAGTCATCACTTGATTACCGGTTCCTTCGTCAAAACAGAGAGTCATATGAATCATCGCGTTGAGCTTGTCAGATAGCTGAAGAGCCTCACCACAAACCGGGCAGTTATTTATAATTGGCTCCCTGCATTAAAGAGATCAATATTCAAATCACTGTGATTCAAGGAGGTATAAACTGACTTGTTAAGAAAACCAAGAAAAACTAGAACATAATTTGAAGTGAATCAAGAAGGGTCATTACTTTTCTTGTTGAAGAGCAAGAAGTGCAGCTAACTCATCAATAGTCACAACACCGTCACCATTCAGGTCAGCAGCTCTGAACAACTCCTCTTTCTGGTAAATATATACTTTTAATACACTTGAGACTCTCAAAGACTAGTTGCAAATGAAGAGAAAACTACACTCAATCCCACACTAATGACATACGTGACAACAGATGCTTAAAGCCGAACCTTGTTAGCAGCCACTAGATTTCCAAATGCACGTATTAGATCGGAGAACTCCGAAAACGAGAGTTGTCCATCTTCATTGTAGTCCTGCACTTTGTCAAAGAACTCCAACTATCAAATTTTTTAGTTTCAAATGCACTACATCAATTATTCAAAAAATGTCTCCAACGAAAGAAGCAGTGCCACAGAATAAATAGTGAGGAACAAGAGACAGACAAACAAACACACAAGAGCGTCACATGAACTCATTGTATTCATAACAAATAGCTGAGAAATCAAATAAATATTGAAGCGTACCATACAGAGAGGATAACATCAAAAATTTTACGAGAGTATAGTAGATAAGATTGGAAGATTTAGGTAAAACATACCACTACGGACAAGATACGCTTTGCAAACCGCTTCTCGGTTTCAACAGGATCCTGCAAATGTCAAGTAACAAAATCTCAGACACTAATTCTCCTGTATTTTCTCAGATAGTTGCCTAGTGTGTACCTCAATAGCGCAAGAAAGGAAAATGCTGCCGACAACTTTGGATGATGCGGGATCTAACAAGTCAAATGACTTACTAGCCGACTCTGGTTCCTGAATCAATCCAAAAGAAAAAAAAAAAAAAAAGTAATTTTCTTATTTATTTACCATTCATGGCCCAGTATTTATATAATCATATATAAAGAAAAATTACCTGCACTACAAAATCGAATATATCAAGCTCGCAATAGCCGACGATCTTGTTCCTCGAGAGCTTATTAGTCTGCACCAAGAAAGGATGGTCCTTTTCAGATAACTACTAATAAAAAAAAGCAACATAATGGACTAAACTCAGAATCTGGATAATAGAAACCTCAAATACTGAGATTCTAGCGAGACTTGGTCCGTTTTTCTCCAAAAGAAGCTTCTTTTCCTAAAGTTTACAGAGAAACACTAACCGGAATTTAGCACACAAGTGCAGAACCAAAGTATTAAAATTAAAACGCTCAGAATCAGACATGGTTTTGATCGACTTACCGAGTTCCAAACTGGCTTCTCCGTACTGAAATTCAACAACAACAAAAATGTTATCAAACTATAAGAAATATTTTCAAAATTTCGAAAGCTAAGATTTTTTTCAGGCAGAGACTTACGTATCTGAGATTTCAGTTCTGAATGTCTGTTCACCGAACGAAACACAGGCGAGCCACTTGTCCTTAAACTTCATATCCGCCTAAAGACAACAAAACAGACACACACAAAAAAAAAAAGACAAAGACTTTACATGTCACATCACTAAGCACCGTAACCAAAAAAAAAAAATTAAAACGTAATAAGAAGAACAAATCGTACGCGTATGAGAGTGAGAAGCGCAATGCCGGAGAAATCCTCGGCCGTCACAGCTCTCTGATTCACAGTTCCGGTGGCGTTTCGGGAGTAACGGCTACGTAGAAGACGGTGACTGCGAAACTTCTGAAGCTTCTGCCTCAGCCTTGTCCGTCTCGATTCCTTCGATTCCCTCGAGTTTCCGTTTCCCATAAATCTACGATTTTCCAAGCCCTAACGCACCTGTATATATTAACGGATTCGAGATTGAGAAAGACGAATGAGGCAGAGAGAAAGCGAGAGAGAAAGAGAGATCACAGTTCTAATTTTCCCTCTGCTTTTATATATTTTTTATTTTACTCTTAATGAATTTTACGTTGACCGAAAATCCGAAACGTGACCGTCCTCAGTTATGGACTTTGAGAAGGTGGGCCCTTTTTTTATTCGGGTCTTTTGATTTAAAAACTTTTTTTTTTTTAAAGATGAATAAAAATGGGAATGTTTTGCAATCGTCATTCCTCTCCCACCTTCTACGGAACAGAGCTTTTACGGCAATTCTATTCTTTTTCAGTAACACGGTTTTGCAGTTTTATATACTTTATGAGCATATAAAAGAGAAATTCGAGTACCAGCTTCTTTTGATATTTTAAAGCGAGGTTCTGAGAATAGTTTTTGACACTATGAAAATAATGTATCATATATATTATTGTTTACTAATATTGTTTAGTGACATTATATAACAAAAAAATTTATATATATCTAAGAATAAATAAGAAACATTATAAACAATAACTTATGTGGTAGTCTTTACTTCCAAAATCGTGCAATAGTATATGT